GGCCGGCGGCGAGGGCCCTGGGGCCCCGGGTGAGTGACCCCCAGGGCTAGTGGTGCCCCCCAGCCCCTGCCGCCCCAGGGAGGGCAGCTGGGGCAGCCGAGTCCCGGTCTGCGCCTCCCCATGGGCGTCTCCGCTCTCCTCCCGGGCGGTGTTTCAAGTCGTGAAGCTTTTTGTAGTGGAATTAAGTCGCGTTTTGCGGCTGGGGTTACTGACCGAGCTTAGCCGTCTGTCTGCACCTGCTTTCTAACGACCTAATATCATGGTTAAACATATACTGGCGTTAAGCGGTTATTGCAACCTGAAAGATCCTACAGTTGTAGTGCTCGCACGTTCTTTTGTTTTCATAAACCAGTTAACTATAGTTAATAGATTTTGCATGTCGTCTCAGCCGGGGGACGGTTTTATGGAAATGTCATCTAAAAGTCTGAATTCTGACAAGATAGTTTTGCGTTAGAAGGCAGACTGTGAGACTTAAGTTTTGAGTCACGAGTCGAGGTATTATGTGGATAGTGTAAGTGGTGGGAACTCTTCAGGAATGTAAAGGCAACTGTTCCTTTAAATCAGTTGTGAAGTTCAGTTTTTCCCCCCTGTGTGTTGGAAGGGAAGATCTGATATTATTTCTCATCGACCTAACATTTGAAATGAAAACAATATGCTTAAGTGTAATGCTTATAGAACAGAAGATACTAATTGTGTCAGAGGGAAAGTTGTACCATGAGAAGCAGCATTTCTGCTAGTACAAGTGTAACTAAATGAACAAGAGCCCTCAGCAATGCAGCATCCTTAGATGTGTGAGAACATGTAATACAAAGGCAGCAATATCCCTACTGGGAGCATTAGTGAAGTTGGTAGCAGAACTACTCAAGTTTGGGTATTAATGCTCACAAAATGCGGTGGGCGTATTGCTAGCATCTTGGAAAGGAACCACTACATAATTTTGAAGTGTAGTAAACCTATGTAACAAGAGATTTGGTGAATTTACTTGGCAGAAAGTAAACAGTGCATGAATTACCACAGAGACACTTTCTGATGTAGATTTATGGTTGGAATAAGAGTCCTATATTGGGAAGATGCAACAATACTTGTTATGGGAAGGATTTTTCAGTCTCTGCACAGACTGTAAATTAAAGAAAACCCACAAAACTGTTGCCAGTAGGTTTGCACTGTTATACAGTAATTTCCCTTGCTCAGGGAAACATTTCAAATTGGCAACTTTGGGAAAGCCTGAAGTCATGGTGTTTATCCCAGGAACCTACTACAGCTGCAGAGTGCACTCATTTCACAAAAACCTCCACAAGGGAGAAGTTAAAGGTGGCTGGATTCAGCTGGAAGTAAAGTGGAAGTCACTACTGCCGTGGGTAGTAAAATGGTTTGTCACAAGGATGTGGTGGATCTGCCATTGTTTCATGTCTGTGAAGACAGAGATTTACTGCCATAGATATGTGGAGGCTTGGTGTGTGAGTTGTTGAAATACATGTCTGGTGTTCCGTGGAGCAGAACAAGTTACCAGGATGGTTGGTTGTGGAATCCAGCCTAATAGCATTTTAAAGACAATAGTGGTGAAAAACACTGGAGTATGTGTGCCTGTCACTTCTGGGCAGTTGTTTTCATCTCTGGAAAAACAGTGTTTTTCATGTTATTGTGGTATCGCTTTAGTACGTAGCCATCCTAACTTTTTTACTGTGTTACATTCTTAAGATCAGTAATGTTTTTTGGCATTCTGTGGGCTGGCTGATGTTATGAGTGTTAAAACATTCTGCAGTTTTGGTATTCTTTTTTAAAATCGCTAAATGCCCCTTAGGTAAATCACTTCTGTTTTAAATGTTTAAGTGTTTTAGAAGAGTAGCTGCTATTGTAGCTGTGTAGGCTGTTGGCACAGCAGCTTAGTATCTGTTGAAAATTATAATTATGTTTTGGTTGGTCTCTTTTTTTTTTCTTCTGTATGTTATGAGGATGTGATGCATCATTCCTGCACCACAGATACTCCTATGCTGAGATTTTAGTAGTTTTAAATAAATCATGCCTCCATGCTGATAGTGCTGTCTTTTTACACTCAAATCAAAGAAGGTGTGGGGGTGTGTGTATTAAATTACGCTTCAAGTGTAATTAAGTTTTTCTTTCAGAAAAAAGTAAGTGGGGGGATGTTCTGCAATGGGAAGGAGATTGGTAGAAAATTTTGAAGTTGATTTCATGTTTGGATAGGGAAACTAATGCAGTAAAATGAGGTAAATGTTTGCAAATTGTCATGTTTATTTGTTGTGGTCAAGCTAAAACATTAGGAAGAACAACTTTACTATGTTAATTGTGTGATATAGTTTTTTTAGCAATTGAATGTTTGGCAAATGCACACTTCTCACTGGGAAATCTGAATATGCCAGATCAAGTTCTTAGGTTGATTTTTATTAGTCTCAGTAAGTGTGTGTGCAATTCATGACTGCTTTACCTTTGCTGGGAGCCTAGCTTCAATACATAATGAATAAGATGAGGAGCTTTGGCTTCCCTAATATTAAAAGCCATAGTGTCACAAAAATTTGATACTTTCTTCTGTTTCTAAAGTGTCACATTTGCTAACTTCTTGTTAAATTCACCTTTTGCCGGATACGCTGCAGTTTGTAACTTCTTGTAGGTGTTTTTCAGCGTAAGGAAAAAAATTCTCAAAATAGAAACATCTTTCTGAAATGTTTCAAGGCCATTAAAAGAAAATAGGATAAATCACTGAATTATGGGAAAGAAAACCACTGTTTCTAGTGGACATGAAGACTAACAACTGAATCGGAATTAGGGTATAATTTGTGATGAAATATCGCAGTCACAGGCTAAAGAAATCCCAGACAAGACAAACTACTCCATGCAGGCATTAGCGTGGTAATGGACAATAGAGGAGATATTTAAATAAATCACATGTTTGCAATTTGACATAGGAGTCTGCGGTAAAAATGTATGATATGCACTAAAACAAAATGCTGAAAATATCTAAAGAAAGATATACTTTCTATTGAAAGTACAGCGTAATAAAGGCAGAAACCTTATAGTGTTGTAAAATTTGTCTCTCTAAAGTAGGAAAGTATGGCAAATATAGTGTAGAAGGTGGTGTTTTCACTACATAGGCATTTTAAGACTACGCTGCTTAACTTACGCTTCTAAATCACTTCCATTGTGATTTAAAAAAAATCAGACTATACTTCCTGGAATCGTATAATCTTTACATAATGCTATCCATACTCAGCTCTATATGAAATGGCTTTAGGCGTGTGTGAGCAGTATGATTTTACTTTGACACTTGGGGTTCTTCTGTGGTGTTGTGTCCCTTTTTTTATATTAAGGTCTTAAAATGCAAACTGTTGGAAGCTTGGAAGGTGTATGCATTAGATATCTACTTTTCTCTCATCCTCTGATTACCTACAGAAATGACAATGTGTAACTTATATAAGATTATTCTCCTGGTGTGCTTAGAGCTCTTCTCAGGAGCCAGTGAATGGGATTTTACTGTTTTTGTAGAGCATTCGTGGGTGCTTATTTTTTTGCTTGGCCATGAGTTGTGAGGTACTTAAGAACAAGTAAAAAAGGTGTCCCTGTGGGGGTGGAGGAAACACACAGGCTGGAATGTGATGCCTTCATAGCAGAATTCCCATATGCTCCAGGAGGAAGCTGGCTTACATCACTGTGATGTCTTACTTTGAAAGGAGAGCCTTGTGTCTCAGTACCCTGTATGATAAGAACAGCTTTTCTTGCCCAAAACGTGCTTTCTAAGTTGGGGGAAGGAGGGGAGCACCCTTACAGACTAGATCTAGAAATACAAATGAAAACCTGTATTTCTGTGAGATCTTCCCTGCCCTGAAAAGGAAAGCTTACCAATGCTTAGGAATAAAGGGAAAACTGCCTAGTGGCACTAACACAACTGGAGCGAAGAGAGAAATGTAAAACCCCTGAGACATCTGAGAAAGTGCGGAGTTGCCTTGTGGTTACGCCCCCTGCCCGCCCTCTCATGAAGTAGAATATTAGGTGTTTTATACCTCTGCTTCCCCAGTATCTGTACAATATTTAAAACATATATAAGCAATCTCTTCCAGACTGACATGAAGCCAACACAGTGTGCAAGTGTTTTGTCAGGAGGGAATGTGCGTCATAAACTGAGAACTGACAGGGTCCAGATTTGAAACTTTCTTTGATTCTGGGACACTTTGGATTTTAACTCTTTCCTCACCTTCCTGAGAGCAGAAGTTTCACTAGCCATTCTGAGGTGCTGAAATGGATGGAATCAAGATGGAGCTAGGATGGAATAAATAAGAAAGATGATACTTATCCCTTTGCTTCTCACTGAAAGGAGTCATCCTTACAGAGCTGAGTAGTGCTGCTGATAGAGGTACAAGCTGAACAGCTGTTGTTCTTTCTGCTGTGCAGAGCTGGGGAGAGGGGAAGATAATTTCTAGTACTCTGGTTGTACAACTTTAATAGGAAGTGACTAAAGTTCCTCTAGTAGCTAGATTTACCTTTACATGTCTTCTCCTCTTCCTGAGATTCCTCAGAAGATGTGGACAATGTGCTGCTCAAACTTGTGCCTTCAAGAAAACTGTCGCAGAATCATGAAGGAAAACAGCTCTACTTCACCAAAACACATTTGCCTTGTTCCTGTAACATTTTCCTGTGGTAGATCTTGCCTTAATTTTTGCATTGGCTTACAGGTATGAGAAGTGTTGCAGTTCAAACAAGAAGCTGAAGAATTTCTCTGAGCCTGAAATGTGTTAATCTTTGAATTTCATTATACCAGGGAATGACAAAACGTCGAAGCCCATAATGAATAGAATTATCTCCCTGATACATAAGTGAGCATCATTCAGCTCATTACCATGTAGCTGAATGAGAGCGTACACAAAAGACTTAAACTGATGGAGAGTTTACCACTTGCTTGGTAAGGTGTAGTTGTATTTTATTTCCAACCTGTGTTTTTCCAGCTGTGACTTTCAACTATTTTGTCCTTTTTATGCCTATTTTAGCTGAATTTAGAAGTCTTCTATCTATGTTTTCCAGATAGCAGCCAGGTTGCTGCCTTTATATTCTTTGGTAATTCGTTTGGATTAAGCTTGTAAATATTTTGTTGCAAAGAGGTTTTTCAGACCTCAGATTTTTGTAGCTGCCTTAGGTGCATGTTTTGTTTTTTTTTAAACAAAAACATCAGAAGTGCATGTGGTATTCTGGGAGTGTTCTCTTTGTGAAGATAATGTCTCTCCTTTCTGCTGCTTATCTGTTTGTCCCTTCAAGGATTGCATTGCTCTTTCTGCTCCTAGAATGTATTTGGAGGGTCTTTGTTCTCTTGCTCTTCTTCAATTGTGCAAAATGTCTTTTAGAATATGATTTTTCCAGGATAGAATACACTGGTTTCAGTCACTCCATCCCCATACGTAAGGTTCCAGTGGACTTTCCTCTTAGAGTATGACTTAGGTTTTATTTGGGTACATTTGGCAGCTATTTCAGGCTGTTATGCATTAATTCAAGAGGGTGAACCTGGTCAAAAAGAAAAGGAAAAAAGATACCCCAAAAAGCCTTGTTCATCCTAGTGATGGTGTTGGTGCTGACCAGACTGACGAATGTTGCTGTTGGGACTGCTCATTTCCTGTGTTCGAAGGTTTTTCTGCGTACACTTTGCTGGAGACGGAGATCTCGGCCTCCTGTCTGAGTCAGTTTGTAGCAGGTTTTACAGAGGTAAATTAGTGTTCCAGGCTTTAGATTTCTGTCACATGCAGTAAATTCCATGTCCGTGAATTTACTTGAGATTCAGTCTTCTCCGTATCACTTCAAAGATCTTTGCTGCCCTGGTCCTCTTAAAGTTTCTATGACTTTTTCTTTTGACATAAGTGTCTACGTAAGCCTTAAAGGTTCACATCTAAAATTGTAGCAGATATATGCTTGCATTTCTGTCACCAGGTTAGTCTGAAACTTGATGTCTATACCACCTGTTACAAAGCATGGTTTCCCACTTCCAATGCTAGCCGAAGTGCAGCATTCACAGATCATATTATATGCTTATGTAGTGAACTTAAGCTGTTTTGAAGTGGTGTAGGGGTGCTGCCTGTCCAGCCTGAAGTCATCTCCTGTGAGACCATGGAGCTAAGAACTTCCACTGAGATGAAATTCCAGAGTTTTTGCTAAGTCTAGTGCTGCAAGTTACATCTCATCAACAAAAATTGAGAGGGTTTTGCATTTTTTCAGCATTATGCTTTGGGAGAATAAGGTGGTATGTTACTTCTCTTTCCATGCTGCGTTCATATTTCTTACTAATATTTACATTAGCTTCCTTATCTCTTGGTGATACCAGTTTGTGTTTTGTTTTTTTGTAATTTTTTGAGGGTATTGCTTTTGGTTTTTGGCTCATTGCATTTGTGCTCATTTCTTCTGAAACTCTTTCAGGGCTGTTAATGTATGCAAGTGTGCATTTTCCAATGACTTAGTTCTGCTGCTTTGATCTCCTGTAACCAGCTTCACTAATGTTTATGTTCCTTCGGGATACTTCAAAACTTATTTATCGGGTGTTTGTCTATGTTGATCTTATTGAATCTGCCCTTTTCTCTATTAGAACCCCTTTTTTCTCTCTTGAAAGAACTTCTTGTAATGTTAGCTTTCCATGCTGACAGTGCTACTTTGAAGGGGGTTTTGGATCAGTGACAGCTTGAAGAATTCTGCTAGCTTTGTACTCGAAAGCTAAGTCTTGGAACTGTTAGATATTCCCTGCAGAGAAACAGACTTGCAAAGTAAGCATATCTCTCTTGCTAAAAGAGTTACTCATTAAAGCATAAATCTTTTCCTCTCCACTACCCTCCCCCAGTCTTCCACAATTCTTCCCATAACTGATTACACAGTGTATGGTGGAAATGGAACATCATGTGTATGTTTTTCCCCAGCTGAGGCTGAAGAACATAAAACAGAAAAAAAGTGCAGCGGACAGATTGAAAACTGAAATGGATATCTGCACTTTGATACTTCTAATGACTTGAATATGAACATCATCGGTATTTTAAATGTGTTTGAGGTTCAGATTTATAGCTTAGGCTCCATCTGACAAATGTGGCAAAGAAACTACAAGACTTGAGATGAAACGATTGAATTATTCCCATTACGAAAAGATATGTTGTTCCTTTGCATTACATAAAATACACATAATTTTCTCTAATGGTACCTTTTATCAAGATGAAAAATAACTTCATTTGCTCATTCACATAAATTGTTTGCTGCTCTGCTAAGCAGTTTTATGTAGTATCTTGGGCCTTTAACCCAAGACATTACAACAGGTAAATAACAATTATTGCAGTGTTGTCCTTTTGAAATAACTTTGAACTGCAAAAGAGAGTTTAAAAAAAAGTAAATCAATTCCTTGAAATCACAGAATCATTAAGGTTGGAAAAGACCTTTAAGATCATCAACCCAACACCACCATGCCCACTAAACTATGTCCTGAAGTGCCATGTCTACATGGTTTTTGAATCCCTCTAGTGATGGTGACCCCACCACCTCCCTGGGCAGCCTGTTCCAATGTTTGACCACTCTCTCAGTAAAGAAATTTTTCCTAGTATCTAGTCTAAACCTCCTCTGGCACAACTTGAGGAGATTTTTTTGTACCAAAATTTCATTTGCTTCCTAGATTTAGAGTGTAAAAGAGGAAAAAGGGAATTGTCTGTTACTGAAAATTGTATAGGCTCCTGAGAAACTCAGATGTACTGAATATTTTTGTCTTTTGGGTCCATATCACATACAAGGAAACAAAGTATTTTTATCCTAATTGGAGAAGTCTGCAGTGCCAAACAATTTCTTTATTTCTTCTTTGACAGAATCTTTACAAATAAAACTCTATCCTCATGATCATGATAGTGCTGTCTTTGAAATACACAGAAGAGCTGAATATGATGAATGTTGATCTAAAGATGACCAAATTCAATATCATATTACTTATCTGTAAATGTATTCATCTTCTCAAATGTTTAATTTACAATTTTAACTGTTGTATGCTCTTTTTGACATATTGCATTCTTCTTTCAGGGTTGAATCCCACCAGATTTCGAATAGGTGACCAAGAGTTTGATTCTTTGCCATCTTTACTGGAATTCTACAAAATACACTATTTGGACACTACAACCTTGATAGAACCAGTTTCTCGATCCAGGCAGAATAGTGGTGTTATCCTCAGGCAGGAGGAAGCTGAATATGTTCGAGCTCTCTTTGACTTTAATGGAAATGATGAAGAAGATCTTCCATTTAAGAAAGGAGACATACTGAGAATCCGGGATAAACCTGAAGAGCAATGGTGGAATGCTGAAGACAGCGAAGGAAAGAGGGGAATGATACCTGTTCCTTACGTCGAGAAGTATAGACCTTCCTCTGCTTCAGTATCTACTCTGATTGGAGGTAACCAGGATAGTTCCCACCCACAACCACTGGGTGGGCCGGAGCCAGGGCCCTATGCCCAGCCCAGCATCAGCACTCCGCTCCCTAACCTTCAGAATGGCCCTATTTATGCCCGGGTTATCCAGAAGCGAGTCCCTAATGCCTACGACAAGACAGCCTTGGCTTTGGAGGTACATAATGGGCAAAATTTAGAAAGAAGAGATCTGTTCAAGGGATTTCCCTTTCAATCACGTTCTAGTTTTGTAGGAACAAGAAAGGGAAAAGCATTGTAATACTGGTTTTACATCATGATTAACAAGTTATGGATAAAAGCTTTTTTCCTAAATGAGTAAGTGACTAGAGTCACTTGTAGAATAGAGTTTGATTATTATAGCATGTTTAGGTTACTGAACCAATGTCATGTCTTTTGTCAAACATCACTAACATAAGTGTTTCCTCATTCATGTTTTCACTTCTGAAGTCTTCATGGTAGGGGGGAGGGAGAGGGAGCAGTTCATAAGTTGTGTGTCTGAACCTGTGTTCACTGTTGCTTCCCTCACCCCAATCTTTAAAAGGTGTGCTGGGTTGTTTGCTTTTTTTATTTCCCCAATCTGTCAGCAGTTTAAAAGCAATCAGTGGAAACACTGATAGTCACTTTAAAATTACAGACTGAGATGATGACGATGATCACACATAGGGTTTTATTGTAACATCTTGGCCTCAAGCAGATTACTTTGGTTTTTAGTTTGTGAAGCAGGAACATACATTACAATTCATTAGGGAGGTCTCATGTAAAGCAGTGATTGATGGAGTATGATTTGTAATAAAGCAGTGAGTTTCCCTAAGGTTGATTCACTTCCTGATATGATCAAGTACTGGTCCATGCCCTTTTTGATTTTTCTTTCCTCTTAAAAAGGAGACTAGACTGCTCTATCTCTACACATCAGATAGTTATCCCCCAAGTTACATTTGAGGAAATTGAGACTAAGGTATTCTCAGTGGAAGACCTTTGCTTTAGCATGATATGTAAATTGTGTCCTTTAATCTAGGCTTTCTTTGAGCTAAAGGCTCTGGAATTTCCTGATACCTAATTGACTTCCTGTTTATATAACATTTTAAGTACTTGGGAAAAAACAGTTTCTGTGCTGAGTCAGAGCATCTCCTCTTCATTCTCAAATTCTTTGTTTAATCATGCATGGCACAAAAGGCACTTCAGTGATGTGGCAACTATAGGTATGAGTCTTTAGTACAGAATTGGCAAATGCAGCAGATCTGAGAATTGATGTACAACCTGGGAGACATGAAATTTTTCCCCCTTGTAGGTAAAAATTTTTCTAGGGAAGCAATACTATGAGTTACTATTCCTTCTGTTATACTTCCAAATCAAAAGAGAGCTAGGATACAGAATGTAAATTTTTGGGTGGAGAAGCATATGTAGAAATTTATGCCAACTCACCAGATTTTGGGGAAACGTGAAGATTTTAACCTTCAGACTTTCATACAGCCTAAAATGCTGTCTCTTTCCTTCTTTTTCTCACTCTCCACCCAGCCAACACCTGGAGCTTGAAAATAGTCCTGAATGTCATGTGGACTGTTGCAATCACCAGATGTTAGATTTTTCTTAGAGCTGCTGGATATTATGTTGTGGCATATTTAGCAAATCCTTTTGGGTTTCCTTCTGGATTTTATTTTTAAGCTTTTATTTATTAGTGTGCTACTAGTGTTCTCTTAAGCTTAACTTTATGTTTTATTTCACTTAAAGTAGAACCCCACAACACTGCCCAACTCAGTTTGGTAGCGTGGAGTGAAATAGTGAGAAAATACTGATAATCCAGGCCATCATAAGCAATTTGAGTGAAAGCAAAATCATTTGCATGCTAAAGGACAGCTCAATTGCCATGCCTGATGTGTTAGTTCAGTCCTCTTCAGTAAAACTCACATGATCTGTCAAGTATGCTGTGCTTTAGAGTGTAGTTTCATGGAGGACATATCTCTCTGTTCTGAGCTAGCTTGCACCACTAGTGTCTTACTCATGATACCAGGCTAGATAGCTGAAGTGTTTGGGAGGGGGGAATTCAGAAGCGTGTAGGCTCTGCCCATCTGTGTAAAGATGTAAGTAAGATTTATAGCATTTTTCTACCTTTGTATTAGAACAATAGCCTTTGTAGGCCTTGTAAACTTATTTCAGTACTTACTAGTGGACATGTTGAACCTCTTGGTTAGGATGATGTATTCCTGTATTGCCATAGCTCTACATTTAAGAAATGCAGTAATAGTGGTGGTTCTTCATTCTGTATGTAATATGGGAAATTTTAGTTTTAAAATGTAAGCCATTTGTCACTGCTTCTAGTAGGCCTTCCTCGCTGCTTTGCAACTTTTATCAGTTCAAATCACAGTGCTACTGAGTTGTTTTCAATGTCTGTACAGGAAAAAATAGCAATATGCACTTCATTTTCTCTAAGTTTTTTTTCATCCTGTCTATCAAAGTACTGTTTCTTGTTGTCTCCTTTTTTTCACATTCCCTTTCACTTCATGGTGTTCCCACTGTTTATTTAGAGATCTCTTTCTTAGATAACTTAGTAGAAAGCATTATGTAAGTCTTATCAGTCCATTTTTGCCCAGACCTCTTAATAACTATAACTATAGAAAGTGGGATTCTTTCCAAATGAGAACTCTTATCCGTAAATCTGGCAGTATTAATGGGTGGGGTCGATCCCACTGTTTCTCTTAGGAAAATAGATTCTTAACTTCAAACATATTTGGTTCACACTGCAAACAGAATATCTGCACTGTTGTGTTATTCTAAAACTAACATGGTTTTGAAGAGCTCAAGGAAGGAGAATTGGAGAAAATGATGTTCTAATAAAGGCTGTGCTGTATTATGGAAAAAAGATTCATCAGGAGAAGATAACTTTTATTTTGCTTTTAACTCCTTATTCAAGGAGTTATCAGTCTATATTAATTAAGAGAGGAGAAAAAGGGAAGAAATCTATGTGGTGAATGACTCTGAGATCGATCAATGTTTTTTTTCTTTGTAACAGTAGCAGAACTCTGCCATTTTGACCTTACCAAAGAGGAGTACTTGGAATAAAACCACAGCATACAGAAGTCTTCACATGAACCTTCAATTTTGCTTTGAAGCATATGGGATATATTTAGTTTTAAAACTTCTGATGAAGACTGAGACAAATCTGGCTTTATAGCAGGGTACAGTGTTGTTCTTGAGGTGCTGTGCTTGGTGGGATGACGCACAATAGACTAATGATACCATAAGTCAACAGTAAAAGTGAGGACAATTCAGAGAGAACGTCCACTTCTAGTCTAAATGTTTTAAAATTCCAGCACTTGTAATAATGAGTAATTTTTTGGAAAGGTTCTCCGTATTGTCTTCAGGAGTGTATTTGAACTATACATTAATATGCAGAGTTTCAAAGCAGATCTAGGAAGATCTGTAAGTTATTAAGGAACTAATGGAGCCATTTTATTAAGCTAGCATTTGTGAAATGACCCATGCTTACTTAAAGTCAGTCCTGTTTTGATAGGTGTAAATATAGATAGATATAAAAAAATTAAATGAGAAGATACATATAAATGAAATGTGAGTGAATGATTGTATCAGAAAGAGAGTTGTCCCTAAATGAAATTACTGTAACAGTAAAAAAGGAATGTTTAAGCTCAGAGGTCTTTCCTCTTTTAACAATTACTGAAATGCAAATTTCAAGTGTAGCTTCTTATAGTAAGGAGAATTCATAAATGGATATCCCTTTGCTGCAATGACCCTGAGAGACCCCTGAAAACCAAATAAACAGCTACAGTATGCTTCTGGGAGTGAGAGAGAGTCACAAGCATCCCATATTTTAACTCTCTGTCATTGCACTGTTGAACCCACCTTTTGCAGGTGAGTTTGTCATAAGGTATCCAGGATAAACTCTGTATGAACATAAAGTAGTGGGTGATATTCAGTAAGAGCACAGAGGCCAGCAGTCCAAGAAAAATTTCTTCGAGATAGCAAGCTTAAGTGCAACTTGTGCTTTTTCTTTCCTAGTGGGTTGGAGGTTATATAATTTTCTGTTGAACGCCAATACATAGATTATATCCAGGTCTGAAGCAATTTGAAGTTATCTAGGATAGTGTTCTTGTAATGGTTGTGATAGGAAATAAGATTTTCTGCTTCTAGTATTGTCACATTTAATCTTATCCTTGTTAAATTATGGCTGATGTATTGTTTTGGTCAACAGAGTATTTTTATTGGTACAACTCCCCAGTGATTATTAGTGGTAGAAGAATTATACATACCGCATGATTAAATTCCTAAAGAGCTAAAACTAGCATTCAGTAGTCGAGGAAGGCTTCCTTTTTGCCTGTAGCAAATACATAAGAGGATTTTCTTCAAAATATGATTCATTAAAATGTCTATACTAATGAGTACAGAAGGAAAAAAATAAAGCTACAGCAAGAATCCCAAGTGTGCCTCTCATTACCAGATAAGTAATCATCAGAGGTATGGGAAGCTTAATTAAATGTCCATGTAGTGGTTTGAATTTATGAACTGTTAAAAGCTGCTCTGGCAAAATACTGCAAATTATTAAAACATGTAAAGTTAATGGAGATTGGTAATATCTTGAATTGTTTTCCTTGTTCTTCATTCACTGCCTGGAGAATGAGAATAATGAGATTCTGTTGTGGATAAATTTGGAACATAGCGATAAGCATTTGTGTAAACTAGTAATTGTATATTCAGTGAATTTCTGGGTGAATTGCAGTAAGGCTTGTGGCCATTCCTTGAGAGTTTATTTACAGTGTTAGTGAAAGAAAATAGAGTATATCTGTCCCAAAAGCATTCTCCATCTGTGATGCAGGAGGAATTCTGAAAACTATTGTATGTTACTTGTAAATAGGATTATTGATAAAACTCTACACAGAGGGGTAGAAACAGGTAGACAGCTTTTCAATGTTGCATTTATTAACTCTCCAATGACTGTCTTTACAGTGTAAATTGTGCTTTCTTACGTTATATAACTGCTACTTAATTGAAGTACCCTTGAAGATTCAACAGAGTTGGGGACTAACTAGACCTAGACTTGTGGCCTGGCCCCGACTTGAACTACATGACTGCACAGCCTTGGGAAAGTGACTGCTGTGCAGTTTTCCACCTTTGTCAAAGGGAGACAATACCTTTAGAATTGGTTATGGTGAATATATATTAGGTTGGAGATTAGAATATGAGATATATTACTGTGCTTTTATTTAGTGTAGTATATTAGAACTGGACACTTTTAAACTACAGCATATTGTTTCATTGGTCCATAGTAACCATTCTTTTATTTTTCTAGCCAAACAATTCGGGTGTAAGAGGGAGAAGGCATTGATTGTCTTTACCCATGGAATTTATTTATGCAGGAAACCCATGGTGGATGAGACTGTGAGATCAGCTGGCCTTGCCTCTGGGTAGTGGCTAGTTGTGAAAGTGGATGCTCAGAGTAAGAACAGAGCAGCTTTACACCACCTGTTCCCCCACATATTCTCCCAATGTTTTGTATCTGTGGATAGATAGATATCTCCCACTTATCTGGAAGTTTTTCAATACTACCTGAAAAGCACTCAGTGGAATTTCAAAATTAAGGAGCTGTTTAGTTTGCAGATTAGTGTTCGCTTTGTATGCCTGCAAGCCTTCCCTCCTTTAATGAGGTTGTTGATGGAGTACAAGCAGAGCGCAAGCCTCTGTCAATTCAGTGAGATGCATTTATTGTGGTAGTGGCTGATATCAAGCCCCACGAGTGCTCTGAAAGATTGGTGTTGGATTGCAGGCTCTTCAATTTAGGTAGTTCTCACCTAATCTAGGTATGCTTCTTTCTCTCTGTACTTTTCTTCAAGAGTGAATAACGTCAGGTGGTAGGCTGGTATGTCAAAAATGGTCAAGACTAAAACTACTTTTTATAGAAGTGTATCTGGTACGCTTGGGTGATTGCCACCAAAGGGGAGGGGTAGCAGCTCATCCTATGTGTTTTTGTGAGTTGTAACATCATCTTATTTCTTATCCTGCAGGTCGGTGAGCTGGTAAAGGTCACAAAGATTAACGTGAGTGGTCAGTGGGAAGGAGAGTGTAATGGCAGACGTGGTCATTTTCCATTCACACATGTCCGCCTGCTGGATCAACAGAATCCTGAGGAGGACTTCAGCTGAGTGTGGCTCAACAGTTGCACTTACAGATGGGAACAATCTCAACTTGTTTTTATTGCAGATGCCATCAAGACTATGTTCCGACAGATGTTGAAAGCGGTATTGCTTGTATAAGCATTCTGATAACCTGCAAACCCCTGGGACTGAACACCACCATTCCTTAATCAAGGGTCATGTAATTCAGGGTACGACAGTAGATAACTTGTGTGTCAAGTGGCAGAACTAGTACATGATTATAGGTTGTAATGCCTGCTTATGTCCATGTGCACAGCAGACTGGACCTTGCCAGCAGCAGCAGTTGGAGAAAGCAGTACCGTAGATGTTATGATAACATTTATAGCTCTCTCCGGTCCTATTGCTTATGTTGCTTCTTCCTCAGGCAATGAACGTCAACCTTAGACAATTCAATATATAGGTAGAAATTTCACAAATTTACCCTGGAGCTTTCTCCATATTTTTTTTTCCATCCTGAATTCTCTGTCCTAGGAAGGCTATATAGTACTTTGCATGGTCAGTTAACTATGCATAGTACAGATTTATGTAGAGCCCATTGGGGACAGTCTTATGATTTACAGATGCTTACCATTTTAATGGTAAATGACAGATCAGATCAACTTCGGAATTCTAGAAGTTTGTGGACACTAGATTGATTTCTTCAGTACTGTTGATGCTTCAAACATAGCAGCTGATTTTAAATTAAGATTTTTATTAACACACCAATATATCTTTTTATCCACAAATACAAGGCTTATGGAAGTGTAAACATCCATATCAGTGCTGAAAAATATGTGCATAGCACTTTAATGCATAGCTTTAAAGCAGTGTTTGATTCACTAATTATACTAAAATATTGACACTGCTTTCCAATAAAATTAAATTATATAGGGCCAGTTTAATTTTTCTAGAATTCTTTAATACTCCTGTTGTACAATAGTCTTACAGTACAAATCAGTGTCAAACATGGTGAACTGACAAACCAAATATTACTTTTATTTTAAAGTTACTCTGGGGACTCTTCTGGTTTAATTCCCATCTGTAAAATATTTGATAGTGAATTCATGAGGATTTTATTTTTAATAAACTAATGGAAAATACTTGTGTGCTTCTGGATTGATTCTCAAAAGGCATAATAGAGTAACTATGGCTTCATAGCTCATAATGCAAATCAGTGCATTGAATAAGTGGTATTATGCACTGCTTGATTTTTTTTTTTTCAGTCTGTTCTTCTAATTATCTGGTTTTCTCTAGCATAAATCAGAATGGATTCAGTAAGTTTTGTAAACTGAAATTAAACACTGAAGTAACTATCCCTTGCCTGTACCCTGGATTGTTTTCCAAGCACACCACTCTAGTGACCAAACTTAAGCAAACAAATTTTGTACCTTTGACTACAGTGTAATCCATACAGAACAGTTTTTCTAAATAGTACCAAACTGAAAATGTTATTTTGGTTGATACAAACCATGTGACTAGAATGGCTGATTGGTTGTAAATGCTGCAAGGACTAGTTCCCACTGCAAAAGCTATTGCTGCAAGGCACCGACCCGTACAACAGAATATTGGTAACACTTTACCTCAGAACTGCGTAACATGCTGGAAATTATAATATTTCTGTTATATTTAAGTACTAGTTGTTTTACTTCAAAACTAATACATCAGCAAGTCTGACTAATGTTCAGGTAATGGGCACTCATTAATTGTGTAGACTGACGCCAATGTACATTAATCATACTTTTCCATCACCAATCTCATAAGCACTACTGAAGATTATTAGAAAACTGGCAGTTGTGACAGTGGTGTAAGAAGAACAGTAACAAAGGAATTGCAGTACTATTCTAGCTTGGATTGCTGTTCTGGTTAGGGTGATATGCTGGTGATTGTGGGATCTCTTCTAGCTTAGTACAAAATTTACTTTGAGGAAAAATGAGAAACTAACTCTAGGTTCTGTAACACATTGGTTTCTTGAAGGCTAATTTGTATTTTTCCTCTGACCTTGATATTAACTATGACTTTTTTTTAATAACTGCAATCTAAATAATAGACTTAATACTGAATTTATCAGTTGCCCGTATATGCTTATATTTTTCTTCAGGTATTGCGAAAGAAACAATGAACTGTGTGTTCTTAGAGTAACACAGTTTGTTCTGAATTATTTTTTCCAATTGTAGTTAATGAAAGCCCCTATGTGTGTAACCTTCCAGTGAGCAATTATTTTAAGATACCAAAAGAACATTTTTCTGAAATGAGTTTTATTATGCAAATCTAGTCTTTTTGTTATGAAAGACATAAATTGAATTAATTAGCAAATACCCTGCAAACTTTATAGATGTGTTTTTAAGACTGTATAAATTGCGAATATTTGTACACTTTAAAAGAGGAAAAAAAAAAGAAACTAGAGGAGTCTTAATAGCTGCTGTTGCACTAGATTCCCAAGTTCTTGTCAAGCAGTTTTTCTTAGTCAACTGATACATAATGCAGCTGTTTTCCACTATTCAGTTCTAAGCCGAAAACGTGATCATAGGTGATAGAAATGAGTATGTTTGCATTTGGATGAAATAGACATTTCAACTTATCAAGCTCTTAAAGGAAAATAGGTAGAACATATGTTCATGAACATGTAGATTGAATCCTTTTGTGGCCTTTGTTTATCCTCTTATATTTGTTCCCTCCCTTCTTCCCAATGCGTGAAAAAAAAAAAAATCATTGCTAAGAATGTTGGTCACAATCTTTTGTCTCTACTTGGCTGTGTTTTTGGTCTCTTGTGCATAGGCAGGTGTTAGAACTAGAATAATCATTTCTAGAAATACACCGTGAAAGCAGAATGCTCAATTACACTGTGTTCTTCTGGTGCATTTACACATTATATCACACTAAAAAGTACAACTGGCTGCTATGGTTTTTTAATATATATTTCATTTTGGTAAACCCCAGCCTTTTTACTAATATTTGACCTGGTTAAATCTTGTTAATCTGTTTGAATTGTATTTGTTAATAATGCAAATAATTTCTAATCATTTTAAGAGTAAAACACTTCATTTTTGTTAATGGTTTTGGGGAAGGATTTTAACCAAACCAGTTTGAAGAAAAATATGAACATGTGCCATTGTATTATAACACTATCCACTTTCTTGACAGTTAAAGTCTTTTTTTATTTTTTTGTAGCATGTAATGTATATGTTCATAGTATGTGAAGTAAATAAAAGTATAGCCAAAACTTTGACTTGGTGTCATTCTCAGTCAGCTGTCATTGGAATACTTGCATTTAATAACCTAAAAATATAGCTGTGGGTATGGCCATTTTTAATTGGCTGTACTCGTATGAAAACAATTAAATATAACACCTGCAGAAGTAAGGCAAACCAAGGTAACTAAAATAACTTATCAATCAGTAAAATATGGCTTTTTTAAAACAAGGTGACTTTCTGTAATCAAATTAGTTGCTTGAGTCAGGGGGGTGGGGGAAAAAGTATACAAAAGAGGACTCATGAGGAATGTTAAGGTGAGACTTTGCAGCTATTAGTCTCACTTCTGCCTACACAGGTGTATCAGGAAATAGTTTGGGGATTCTTTGGATGGTGTGTGTCTGTTTGGAAAGATAAAAGTTGTGCATTCATTCTTAGAATTGTCAGTAAAAACCTACATTAAGAATACAAATTAATACCAGCAAGTATCTCATATGGGAGTCTACTAATGGTTCAGAAGGACTTCTTTGTAAGTGTGGTAGTGGGAGAGCACTATTCAATGAAAGTCTAAGATGTTCAGTGTACTGTCAAGGGATGAAGCACAGAAAATGAGGACCAGAATGCATATATCCCACATGGGAGAACATTTGTAACCTGAATCTGTGTTAGACCTATTTTTGCCATTGTAATCCTTAAAAACTGCAAGAGGACTGTGGCCTCTCAGCCCCCCAAGGGCAAGAGTCTTGATGACAATACTATATCTGTAAGCCAAACAGTTTAAGTTGGGGTATACAGCAAAGAACGGTTCTAGCTCCACACCAGTGTGTTCCCTTAGCTCAGCGGAGTGTGCCCTAGTTAATCATGGACCAAAACATTGAGGCATTCAAAATCCCTAAAAGCATTTGTACTCCTGGAGGTGCTCCCTAGTTCCACAGGCTCTTGTTGCAGGAAAAGGCCATGTTGCACACTCCCAATTAAAACTTACTACTTAAAACTACTTACTTCACTGTCTGTTGTTTCTAAAAGTATACAAGGACCAGTCTTGATAATGTTAGTACTGCCGTAATCATTTTCCTTGCTGGTAAGGGCAAGGACAACATTTGTTTTCTTAGTCACCCCATTACAGTGGTGGCTCTTTATATTTTAGTTGATACATATTCAGCTGGCTGCCTGCTACAGATAACTTCCTTTGTCAACACTGTTTTGTGGAGCCTCCAAGTGGGATGTTACTTGTTAAATGAGTGACTTTGCATGTAAGCGTACTGAGATGCCAGCCAAGTTTTCCTGTTATGTCGCCACACAATAAAGATGATTCTATCAGCTTCAGATGGGAAAAAATTAAGTTTTCATAGGTAAAAGTATTGCCCCCAGCTTTGCTTCAGTGTTCATACAATTTGGCTGCAGAAAAGCTGCAATCCAAGAGTGCCTTTTAATGAGATTACCTGAGATAATTTAAGAGCTCGCTGCAGCCAAAAGGAAGAGGTTCTGTACGCCTTTCCCTGGTGCCCTGACAGCCATGCCTGCCTGCTACTTAACCTCGGACTGGTATTTGCAGAACTCTGTGAGCTGATGTAACACAAGGCTCATGCAGAAACCTATTGCCCTTTCTTTCCTTTCCCCTTCCTTCCAACAATGGTTTTCAGCTGCAGTAGTGGTTGAATCAACTCATGTGAAAGTTGAGGGTGCAAGGGACGAACAAGGATTGCATCAGCAAATTACACTGTGAGTATTTCCCTGCATTAGATTGTTTATTCCTCGTGCTTTGCCAAATCTCTGACCAATTTCCAAATATTTGCATGCCAACTGTAACAAGTGCATTCAATAATATTTGAAGTATTTAGACAGTACTCTATAATTCAGCAAGCGTATCAAGGATGCACCTCACTTCTAGCAAATGAGTATGCTTAAAGTGGCCTGGTTTATTTAGATTGTTGAGCTCTCTACAACTTGAGTACCTGCTGAACATGAGGATCACAGAGAAGTTCCTAAACTGATGCAAATATAATTTATTGTGCAGTGCACAGCTCCCATATGAAACTAAGCCTCTGTTGCTGAAAAATAGACTTTTATGGTCAAGATTTATGAAGTGCAGAGATGATTGGCAAGCCTCACAATGAGTTTTAATCTATTTATACAAATACATTGTGACTCTGTATACTGCTGGGATCTTTTGGGTGCCTACCAGAACTGCCTTGGTAATGTTGCTGTGTATTTACAAACAATTCAGAGGTAAAGGTATATAATGATTCCTAATTTCAACAAAATCAGCATTTTCTGATCGTATTTTGACTAAACTGAAAATAGCAATCTTTTTCTGGACTTGACACCTAATTTTCACCTTGGTCCAGACACGCTAATGTCTGTTTTTTTCTTTTATGGAATTCCAATTAGATAATGCTTGCTGAGATTTGAAAAAGAGTTGGGGCCCAAAATGTCCCATGGAAATAGACCATTGATATTCTGGGTAGACAGTGATACAAAAATCATACTGTTATTTTTTTTAGACTTGTTTATGAGAAAACCATAAAGTTATGTTAATTTTACATACCCTAAAGCTCTTGTTCACCAACTGAAATGATGTATGTTAAAACTAATCAGGAAACAATAAACTGTTTTTTAAAAATGTGCTTTAAATTGTGCTTTACATGTGTGCCCTCCGTCACACACCAGGACTCCATTTTGGTGGGCAGAATACAAAAGAGTAAATAGAAGGATACCTGATACTGTGTCCAAGAGGTGCCAAGCACAGTCTCTGCTGTGCATCAAAAACTGCAGAGGCCTTTGTGCACTTCTACACTGCAGGAAGGCTGAGAGTCTTTAGCCCACTCATCCTAGGAGACACTGGGAGGAAAACAAATAAACAAAAAAAAGGGATATGAGACTTCATTCACAGCTACCCTGAGCAAATCTTT